GACTCTCTATGAACTGAGCTCATTCCCATCACCAATGGAGGACTCTCTATGAACTGAGCTCATTCCCATCACCAATGGATGACTCTCTATGAACTGAGCTCATTCCCATCACCAATGGATGACTGTCTATGAACCAAGCTCATTCCCATCACCAATGGAGGACTCTCTATGAACCGAGCTCCCAATCCCTCACATACAAGACCACTTTAATAAGAATAAAAACAGAATATTGTGAAGTTTGAAGTTTTCTGCTTTATTTGCGAGAATTGAAACTAGTGATTAATATAGAAGAAAACGGTTATACAAAGTTACAATAAATGATTAACATGCAATAATAATAATAATAGTGAAAGAGAATTCCGGATTGGATGTTTCTGCATTTTCTTGCTTCTTCCTTGGCCGGGTACGGGAGGAATGTCCGTGTAATGTCACTATCCACCTTTTGATGGGCAACCGGCTGTTGCATTCGCCTGCATGTTGCCCATGTGTAACCGCAGCTTAGTGTTCTCTTTGTGATTTGTGTCACTATCATATCGCAGCCTGAAGAAGAAACATTCCGGATCCCTTGCCGTGTCTTCTATATTCAGTGGTGTGCACAGCATGACAATGGAACCTTTTCATCCCCCGCCCTGGAGAATTTGAGGCTTGAGGAGGTTCCACGCACATAGTTCTTCAGTTCCCAGGGCTGCCACGGAAGATTCTAGATCAGTGGTGACGAACCTTGGCACTCCAGCTGTGCCAAAACTACAAATCCCAACATGCATCTGCCTCTGGGAGTTATGTCTGTGGCTGTCAGAGCCTTGAAATGCCTCGTGGGAATTGTAGTTCCAAAACAGCTGGAGTGCCGAGGTTCGCCACCACTGTTCTAGATGAACCTTCTCCACACTACTGAACACCCTTCATAGTTCTAGTTCTGGTTTTTGTTAACTAAAGTAGGGATTTTCGGTTCCCTTATATTACAATACATATACAAGTATACTCCCTATAACTGCCACGTTTTATACAAGGGGCGCCTACCCTCGCTGCTTTATCTATTTATTGTATGAAAAAAAATGCAAAAGGAGGACAACTCAGTGGGGGAGGGGGGTAGCAAAACCTAGAAACTGAGGAACACCGATCCCACCCCTGGAGTTCTCAAAAAAAGAAAGGTCAGCAGGAGATACAGGAGCCAGACAGACGCGGTCTGAAGTCTTCCCTTTGCCAGTCCTTTAAAAATAAGTTTAGGAACAATACAGTTTTTATATGAACCAAACAAATCCGAATGTTAATTCAGTTAAATGGTTAACTGAAGTTTTTTTTTTAACCTTAAATGTTAAAACATTTCCTTTGCTGAACGTTAAAAAAAAAAAGGGATTTCATGAGGCTGACGAGGCTTTCTGTATAAAATGAAATGTTTCCTACAGTCTGAACATAAAAAAAAAAAAAGTTGTTAGTCTTTGTGAATCTTCTTGTGTTTATTGAGGTCTCCTTTCTGAATGAAACATTTCCCGCACACTGAACATGAAAAAGGTCGCTCGCCTGTGTGAATTTTCTGGTGGCTTAGAAGGCCTCCTCTCTTTATGAAACTTTTTCCGCACTCTGAACATGAATGAGGACGCTCACCTGTGTGAATCTTCTGGTGTTTAATGAGGTCTCCTTTGTGAATGAAACTTTTCCCGCACTCGGAACATAAATGAGGGCGCTCCCCTGCGTGACTTTCCTTGTGCCTAAGAAGGCTTCCTTTTTCAGTGAAGCATTTGCCACACTCTGAACACGGATAGGGACGCTCACCTGTGTGAATCCTCTGGTGTCTAACTAGTCCATCTTTTATACTGAAAGATTTACCGCATACCAAACATGGATAGGGACGCACACCTGTATGAATTCTCTGGTGCATAACAAGTGAGTTTTTCACACTGAAACTTTTCCCACACTCTGAACATGCAAATGGAAGCTCTCCTGTGTGACTTCTCTGGTGCTGGAGTAATGTTATTTTCGAAGTCAAACATTTTCCGCATACTGAGCATGAGAAAGGACGCTCGCCCGTGTGACTTTTCTGGTGTCTAGCAAGTCCATATTTCGCAGTGAAACTTTTTCCACACTCGGGACATGAATAGGGACGCTCACCTGTGTGAATTCTCTGGTGCCTAACATAGTTTACTCTCTGAACAAAACACCTCCCGCACTCTGAACAGGAATAAGGACGCTCGCCTGTGTGAGTTCTCTGGTGTTGTTGAAATAACTGTTTCTCACTGAAACATTTCCCACATTCTGAGCATGAATAAGGACGCTCACCAGTGTGAATTCTCTGGTGTATAAGAAGCCTTCCTTTCTCGATGAAACATTTCCCACACTCTGAACATGAAAAGGGACGCTCACCCGTGTGAATTCTCTGGTGCCTAAGAAGTTTGCTGTTTTCAGCGAATGATTTCCCGCACACTGAACATGAATGCTCTTTTGTATGAACGCATTCATGACTTGCAGAAGATTTCTTGGACTTAGATTTAGCTACTGATCTGTTGGCACCGGGAGATGTTCCACCTGGAGAAGCATTATGTGACTGAGCTGGGTCTTTAGAATCTGGAGATAAAGTAGCACGTCGCTCAGAGACCTTCCGGACGTGGCGCCCATCTGTTGGAAAACAATCATTAAAGAAACGTTAGAAGTCTTCGTCATATCTCACATTCAGGAGTCATATATGGTTGTAGAGCTCTCAAGAGTTTGGTAGAACTCTGGAATAAAACTGAGGACAATCATGAGAGCCAGATAAAGGACCCAATACACCCAAACCACACCGAGGAACATTGAATACTGATGACATTGTAACTGTGAGAATGGAGATGGACCTTCTACCACCTCGTGACCCCAAACCACACTGAGGAACATTGTATACTGATGACATTGTAACTGAGAATGGAGATGGACCTTCTACCACCTCATGACCCCAAACCACACCGAGGAACATTGTATACTGATGACATTGTAGCTCTGAGAATGGAGATGCACCTTCTACCACCTCATGACCCCAAACCACACTGAGGAACATTGTATACTGATGACACTGTAACTGTGAGAATGGAGATGGACCTTCTACCACCTCATGACCCCAAACCACACTGAGGAACATTGTACACTGATTACATTGTAACTGAGAATGGAGATGGACCTTCCTCCACCTCATGACTCCAAACCACACTGAGGAACATTGTATACTGATGACATTGTAACTGTGAGAATGGAGATGGACCTTCTACCACCTCATGACCCCAAACCACACCGAGGAACATTGTATACTGATGACATTGTAGCTCTGAGAATGGAGATGGACCTTCTACCACCTCATGACCCCAAACCACACTGAGGAACATTGTACACTGATGACATTGTAACTGTGAGAATGGAGATGGACCTTCCTTCACCTCATGACCCCAAACCACACTGAGGAAATTTGTATACTGATGACATTGTAACTGAGAATGGAGATGGACCTTCCTCCACATCATGACCCAAACCACACTGAGGAACATTGTATACTGATGACATTGTAACTGAGAATGGAGATGGACCTTCCTCCACCTCATGACCCCAAACCACACTGAGGAACATTGTATACTGATGCCATTGTAACTGAGAATGGAGATGGACCTTCCTCCACCTCATGACCCCAAACCACACTGAGGAACATTGTATACTGATGACATTGGAACTGAGAATGGAGATGGACCTTTCTCCACCTCATTTCCTGAAAACATGACATACTGAAGATGAAGAACATTGTACACTGATTACATTGTAACTGAGAATGGAGATGGACCTTCCTCCACCTCATGACTCCAAACCACACTGAGGAACATTGTATACTGATGACATTGTAGCTCTGAGAATGGAGATGGACCTTCTACCACCTCATGACCCCAAACCACACCGAGGAACATTGTATACTGATGACATTGTAGCTCTGAGAATGGAGATGGACCTTCTACCACCTCATGACCCCAAACCACACTGAGGAACATTGTACACTGATGACATTGTAACTGTGAGAATGGAGATGGACCTTCCTTCACCTCATGACCCCAAACCACACTGAGGAAATTTGTATACTGATGACATTGTAACTGAGAATGGAGATGGACCTTCCTCCACATCATGACCCAAACCACACTGAGGAACATTGTATACTGATGACATTGTAACTGAGAATGGAGATGGACCTTCCTCCACCTCATGACCCCAAACCACACTGAGGAACATTGTATACTGATGCCATTGTAACTGAGAATGGAGATGGACCTTCCTCCACCTCATGACCCCAAACCACACTGAGGAACATTGTATACTGATGACATTGGAACTGAGAATGGAGATGGACCTTTCTCCACCTCATTTCCTGAAAACATGACATACTGAAGAACAGAGAGGGAACTTTAATTTGGTGTACAGAAGGTGGTGAGATAGCTAAAGACAGAAGTCATGAAGTGTGGCCACCAGACAAATGATCCCTCATAACATTCAGTGTATGCAATGCATAAAAACCATCAGGGACCTTGGACATCCCACAGTAGATGGTCGGGAACTATGGACGGCATGGAGGCGATGTTCAGAGCGTGAAAACATTCTACGAGAGAGGTTGGAAACTGAGGACATTCTCCAGGAGACGGTAAGATTTGGAGCATCTTTCAGAAGATTGCCATTAGTCACATTGCTCAGATTTCTGCTCCATACAGCCCTCTCAAAACCAATAGGGTTTGATATTCCTCACAGCAAGGTTGAACTAGTCTTGATCTCCCATTATGAGATCAAGACTAGTTCAATGAAACCAAAAAAAGGAAAGTACAAAAACCATAAGAAATTGTGAAGAAAACCATCAAATTCATACTTTTCCTTCACTGGCCTACTTACCTAGGCAGGTAAAACCGTGGCCTGAGGGACACCCAAGTACCAGATGGCAATATACAGCGTCTCCAACTTATGTAGAAAGACAACCTTCTATTGAGGAATGGAGTTGGACCTTTCATATGGTGTACAGTATCTCCTCCTCATTTGTTGGGACATGACGTTATATTGAGGATGGAGATGGACCTTCATATGGTGTACAGTATCTCCTCCTCATTTGTTGGTCACATGACGTTATATTGGGGATGGAGATGGACCTTCATATGGTGGACAGTATCTCCTCCTCATTTGTTGGGACATGACGTTATATTGAGGAATGGAGATGGACCTTCATATGGTGTACAGTATCTCCTCCTCATTTGTTGGTCACATGACGTTATATTGAGGAATGGAGATGGACCTTCATATGGTGTACAGTATCTCCTCCTCATTTGTTGGTCACATGACGTTATATTGAGGAATGGAGATGGACCTTCATATGGTGTACAGTATCTCCTCCTCATTTGTTGGTCACATGACGTTATATTGGGGATGGAGATGGACCTTCATATGGTGTACAGTATCTCCTCCTCATTTGTTGGTCACATGATGTTATATTGAGGAATGGAGATGGATTCTTTTAGATGGTGTACAAGGTCCTCACTCTATTTGTTAAGAATGATTAATGTATAAAAGTAGAACGTTGATCTGAGGAGATAGATGATCACCTTTTGGGATCGGGAAGGAATCCTCTAAAGCTGAAGAAAAAAGTAGCCGAGAGATTTTTTTTGCTTTCCTCTGAATCAACTTTTTGTTATTTTGTGAATTTGATGGGCATTTGTCGTTTTCAAACCAGGTAACAATATATATATACATATTCAGAGAAGTCTAATGAAATCATGATCCGTTTTTGGTGTTCATTACTTACTTATGTCAATGAGTAGAGAAGATCCCTTCTTTTTACTTTTCATACTCATCTCCTCCTCCTCCATAGACTGCTGATCTCCACTCACCAAGATCTCTTCTTCTTCCTCTTTAATCTCAACTTTGATGTCTTCAATTTCTTCATCCTAAACCCCCAAAGATAACAGATAATGAGTTTGTAAAAGGAAGAGTTTACATAGATGAATATCACCTCAAAATGTAGAATTCTCTTAGATTCTCACTGCTGGATTGTGGTGTAGATCGCTGTAATCGTCCTTCATGGAATCCCGGGAACGCAGAGTACTACCCTCCCCCGTAGACTGCTGATCTCCGTTTACCAATATCTCTTCTTCTTCCACTTTTATCTCAACTTTGATGATTTTCAATTCTTCTCCCTGATCCCCAAAACATCATAGAACACATTTGTAAAAAAAAGGAGAAATAAATGACAGAGAAGAATATTATCTCGCTGCTAAAGAATACATTTTTAGGTCTTCAAGTTCAGTTCCCATCTACCTGATCATGGTGGGGGACGGTGAGATCTTCCTGTGTGGAATCCCGAGGACGGGGACATCTCTTTGTTGGTTTCCTCTTGCTGGATCCATCTGTAGGAAACACACACACTGACTGAATACATTGTTTCTATGTGTGTATCACATGATGGGGGATGTAGGTGGAGCCTCCGTACTGCTCTCTCCTCTTACCCGGTGATGTGAGGGGCGGGGCATTCTCCATCACCACGTCCTTGTAGAGATCCCGGTGTCCTTCTAAATGCTCCTTTACAGAGACACCTTATAGGATCTTCTCTGTGACTTCTAGAATCTGCTTGGCTCTGTTGATCTCTGTTGTCAGGCGGTGAGGTGGAGGCTCCGTGATGGGTGATGTCCTATGAAGACATCTACTGGATGTTAATGGCGTCAAAGGTCTTATATTCTCTACTTAATAATTCTGTTGAGAGAGAGAGAGAGAGAGAGAGAGAGAGAGAGAGAG